AAGAGTGCGCTGAGTTACAACACGCGATCATCTCGCCAGCAGAGAGTAGTTGGTTGAACTTCCCTCCTGATCTGATGCAAAGACGGGCATTGAATGCCTCAACTGTCGCAATCGCCCAGCAGCTTCCACAAGCCGACTGATCCCTGCAAAGAAGGAACATGTTAGCATCGCCACAGCAACTCTCTAGCGCTAACGGATGTCAGCTACCAGACATGACCGATGACGCCCTTGCACTCCTTGAGCGCATCGCGGGCATCGAAGCTATTCGGAATGTCAGCAAGCTCCCCTAGTGGATAGACCTTCTCCTCGAGCCCTCCAGTCTCCTCAAGGAGTGTTCCGCAAAGCTTCTTAGCATCACCGAGAGAATGACCTTGAAGTTGGTCGTCAACCGATTCATTCACACAGCTCTCGATGAGGCGGTCTCATTGAGGCCCTGACCAGCCTACCGTAGAATCTCTCTTGTTCAGTGGACGCCGTCCATAGATTCTGTTTGGAGTTGATCTCGTCCACGAGACTTTGCATGATGGCTGGTCTTGTGTCCTCATACAGCTCTGCCAGCTCATTGGAAAACAACGGCACACCCTTGGCTTGTAGCTCTCTCTCGAATCGACTGAAATGCTGAAGCTCCTCTTCGGGAGTATACACCAAGTCTGAAGTTCAATTCGTAGAGCGGACGCCAGCTGAATCTGATCTCACTCTTCTAAGTCTTAAGATTGTTAAAGATACTTCTTGAATCTCCATCAGGAAGAGCTGATGCTACAGGGAGCAACCACGTGATGATGGCGCGAAGCATTGGAGAATGCTCGAAAGCAAACAGTACCTGTTGCACGGAATCATAGTCGGGGGACAGCAAGAGTCGGGGGATTTTAAAGACCTCTGTCTCAATTCATTCGGGGCGTGAACGATCACGTTTGTATGCACGAGCACATCATGTGCACGATTGACTATCAATACGTGTGCAGCACGCATATTGATAGTCGATCGTTCGTGATAAGCTACTTGTTGCTTGATCGTGACTTGTGTCGATGATACGAGTCCGAAGGAGTTCAAAGATCTGTGTCTTGATCTATTCGGGGATCTGTGTCTTGATCTCTTCGGGGAATGAATGACTATCTATGCACACATGTTGTGCCAACGATTCTGCCCCATGTGCGCCATCAATCGCGCACAATGGGTAGAAATAATGACAGTCCCGCCAGCGAATGTGAGGAAGAAATCCCGATAAGATGAAAAATTCTAGAAAATGTAGAATTTTATCTCCGGCATATGTAAGCGACGATATGCATATTTTCCCACACTGGTTTTTAGTCTCCCTGTAGGCGACTTATCCTCAATCGCGCTTGTTTTGACGCTGGAAGGTGTGCGCAAGGATTTTGCGTTCTCTGAAAATGATATCTGGTCGAAATTCGTGAAGTAATATTTGCTTATTTTTCTGTATTCATTGGAGTTTAATCCGTCTCACGTGAACTTCACGCCGTGAAGTGGCGTAATACTCGATACTCGCGGTGACATGCAGTACTCCGAGTGCTGTACTCGTGAAATATTTTTGTTACTAGTGCTTTTCATATCACTAGGATGGAACTCTATTGATAAGCCATTTCACAGAGTGTCTGTCAGTGTTTTGTCAGTGTTATGACTCATAACTTATGAGCCTACAACACTAAGCCCCATGGGGTGACTGGGCATGCCCCGTTTTTCCTAATGTATGGGCGGGAGCCGCCTACCTTATTCTTCCCAGCCTTGAAACCATATGTTGATTATGTGTTTGGCCCACAAGGTTATCAGCGCCATTTGTCTCGTATTTGAACTTGAATCGAGGATAATGTCGACGAGTGGATTACTGCTCATGGTGCTGGATTCCAAGCGCTGAAAGAGAGGGAGAAGATTGCTGCTGCACGCCGACATTTCATGGAACAACGTGTGAGGCTAAGGATACTACATCCTAGCAATCTGCCAGGTCGGAAGTTATTACCTACATGGCAGTTGAATTAGTATATTGCCAACTTCGTTTCGGGAACGTATTTGAAGACGGTGGTTCTTCGACACTATCTTTCAAGGAAGGAAGGTTATCTCTACAGACTACATAGCTGCCGATACGATACAGCCTGCTGATGTCCCGGTAGAGCTTGG